ACGAAAATTAGCATGGGTTGGTTCCCCTCCCCCCCCCCAGGCCCTTCCCCAAAAAAAATCCCCTCCCGGGCCCCCCCCCCCCCCGATCCCCCACCAAACGAATGCCCCGCGGATGCCCCCCTACCCCCCCCCCTTCCACTTACGTTCTCAGGCCCCCGTCGTCTGGGTCATCCGAGTCATCCCCCGGTCCCGGAGGCGAAGGAATTTTGTCCAAAGGGGAGCTGGGGAATTCCGGCAGCGGCGCGCTCGGGAACTCCAGCCTTGAAGAAAAAAAAAAAAAAAAAAACATGAAATTAGCAGACATGAAATGGCATCAGCACCAGAAAGGCGCGAACCACAAAGCCGACAGCGAACGGCTTCGAAGGTAGTACGACGAACGCATGTGGGTGCATGAAGCAAGCCGCAAGCGAAATAATAGGGGGAAGGGCAGAGCATAAATCGATGAAAACGTTCAAGTAGGGGGGAGGTTTACGCCCGGAAGCATATTCACATGCGGACCCGAAACATGCAGAGGCATGTCCAACTGACGGCCGGTCTTTCTTTCTACGTTTCTCAGGTCCATGCAAGTACCCTCGTGCAGTGGCACGCTGAGATTCCACCAACGATGGGCGAGGGAGTGCGGGCACCAAACAAACAGACTCACTTGGGAACGTCGCCGATTATCGGCGACCCGACAGCGAGCAGCCTTTTCATCCTCTTCGCCGCCGACCCCTCCCCGCCATCATCCCCGCCGTCGAGATCCGAGCTAGCAGAAAGCCTCCTCTTTAGGAGCTCCGACCTCTTCACCCCTCCCCCGCCGCCGCCTCCATCCTTCGCTTCGTCGTCTCCGGAATCATCGGACGAGTCTCCGGCCTCTTGCTTGGTCTTACCGCCGCCGCCGCCGCCACCGTCCTCCGACTTCACCCTTCGGGGCTTCTTGCTGCCGCTGCCGCCGGTGCTGCTTCCACCGCCGCCACTGCTGCTGCTACCGGTCTTGCTACCACCCTTGCTCTTGGAGCCTCCCTCGAGCATCTGGGCACGCCGGAAAAATCAAGCGCGCGCGCGCACGAAGGCGGTGGTCGTTGTATCGGCGTTGGGGGCAGAGGAGGCATCTTTGGGCGATACCGGCACCGTAGCCTTCGACAGCCATCAAGATAAAAAACAGTCTCGTCTACAAGGGATGAACGCTTCCGAAATCACCGGTATTCACAAGTACGGGTTAAATAACCTCGACTTTTGGCGTGGCAAAACTGCTGTTATTAACGGCGCACCCCGATCGTGCGGTTGAAATTTCCAAGAACTGCTCCGGTTTTCCGTCCCATTAGCGAGCAAGGCCATCACCTTACAAACACGGCCAACTGATCCTTAGAAGTCAACTTCGCACCACGCCAAAACCACAGCACCCAACAACACCAAACACGAACGGGCAGCATTCTTTCTCTGAATGAATGCATACAATCCCCCCCCCCCCAAGACCACCACACCGCACCTGCTTGGTGGCTTCGGCCTTAACCTTGTCGATCTTCTGGAGAGCGCCGTCCTTGTACACGATCTCGTTGCCCTCGTCCTCCTGCCTCAGGTGGCCCGCGTACGACTCGTCTCGGATGCGCTTCCGCTCCTCCTTCAGGTGCGAGGAAGCGAGCTCGTCCGTGGACATGCCGCAGAGCGTCTTCATGCTCGTACCGCCCGACAGCAGATCCTGCGATGTTTGTTGGTTGGTTCGTGAGGTTTTGGGCACGACAAAGTGCTTACTTTCGACGTGTGTTTCTTGTAGTGAAAACGGCAACGGCAAGAACAGGCGGGCTCTTGCTTGGCAGAGGGGGTCCGGTGACTGCTGTGCTCGATTTCATTCAGGTACTCGTCTTTTACCTCTGCGCTATTCTTGTAGGTTGGGGCGCCTGCACAGCCTGGAGTAAGACGGGACCGTCCACACACGTTAAGGTGCTCTCAGCACCAGGTCCGCGCTACCCGTCACAAGGAAGCCCAGTGTACCTACGTGATTAATCCTTCTCCTGATGTCTGAGGCTCTGAAGGGATTGTGTACATCGTTGATGGTTCTCTTACGGGCTGTTTCCACTGGTTTTATTTGGTGTGGACACACCGTTCGCAATTTTGAGCAACAACAGAAAAAAAAGAACACCACAAAACATTTCCAATCTCGCGACACTTCCTACTCTTTCCACCACACCCACCAACCACACCCATCTCCGGCGCACGCACCTTGAATAACTCGGGGTTCTTGGCGAACTTGATATTGAAGCGGAGCGACTGCGCCTTCTCCTTGTAGACCCCCCGGTTCGTTCGCGAGAAGGCGTTCAGCTCGTGCTCCAGGTCCCAGGCCAGCATCCCGCAGAGCACGGCGGCGTCCGCCGCGTCTACCCCCAGCTCCGCCATCCCATCCGCGAACAGCTCCCGGAACCGGTCCATGACCTTGTGCCTGAACCTCTGCCCGGCAGTCTGCGCGCTCCGGGCCCGCACGGCCTCCAGCCCCTTGGCGAAGGCCTGCTCGTCTTCCGCGGTCCACTCGGGGGGGGCAGCAGCAGCAGCGGCAGCAGCGGCGGCCTTCTTCTTCTGCTCACCCTTCGCTGTGCAACCTCCTGACGACGACTCGCCATCCGCAGTCGTCGCGACGGCCTCCCCTCCGACGCCCCCCGCACCAACGCCTTCCTCTCCGTTCGCCCCTACCGCCGCCGCGCCGCCGCCGCCGCCACCACCCCCGTTAGCCGCCGCGCCGGCGGCTGCCTTCGAAGAAGAGGAGCGGCGGCTCGCCGCTTGCTGCTGCTTCTGGTGGTACGCCACGAGGGCGTGGACAGCCTGCCTCTGCGCCGAGACCACGCAGTCGTCGGAGCAGAAGGCAACGTCCCTGCCGACCGGCTTGTCGCACCCGGCCGTGAGTTTCCGTGTCCGCTTCAACCCGGCGCCCCCGATGGCGGGCGCGCCGGGCGCGACCCGGGGAGCGGGCACCGCTGCCTTGACGACCGGCGCGGGCGGCGGCGGCGGCAGCGCCGCCGTCCCCAGCATGCGGTCGAGGAGCGAGGACGCGCTCTCGGCCGCGGGCGAGCGCGGTCCCGGCCCGGCCCCCGCGCCGGGCGCCGCCGCCGCCGCCTTCGCCGCGAGGGCGGCGTCCCGCACCGCGGCCGCCGCCGCCGCCGTCCGGGCGTTGTGCGGCGACCCCGGCCGCTCCCCGTCGGGGCCGCAGTCCACCTTCGCGACCCACTCGACGAAGCCGTCGGGCATCACCCACGGCCGGGAAGGCGGGTCCGTCCAGTCGTGGTCCTACCAGTGCCGCCGGTCCACGCGGCACTTTATCGCCGATATCCGGCCCTTCTTGCACGCCGAGCACGCCTTGAGGTTGAACGGGGACGTCCTCTGGTTCCTCGAGCCACGCGTGGTGGGGGCCGCGGGGTTGGTGAACAGGGGGGGGGGCACCGCGCGCGCCACGCTGGCGGTCTGCAGCCCGGCCGCCCTGGCGCTGATCGTCCCGCCGTTGCGCGCGGCAGCGCCGCCGCCGCCGCCTCTGCTACCGGCGGGGGTGGCCCCCGAATGCCTGTGTTGCTCCCTCGCAAGAGGGTACACTGCTGGTGCTGGTGCTGGTGGCGGTGCTTCCGTAGTCGTTGCCGCGCCCACGACGTCGATGGCCGCCATGGCGGAGTCGAGGTCGCTGCTGCTGGCCCACCCGACGTCGCTCATGTCAATCGCCCCCGCCATCCCCTCGGCGTCGTCCTCGTCGTCCACGATGCCGTTCGCGACGCCCCCGAAGGAGCCGACGCTGCTCCCGAGGTGGTGCGCCAGCTCCGGGTGCTCCGGCGCCTTGAGGCTCAGCTCGTGGGCGAGGGTGGCGCGCAGGCCCCCGCCGAACCCGGCACCGTCGACGGCGTAAGGCAGCTGCCGGTTCGCCTGCAGCTCCTGCACGAGCCGCGCGGAGGAGGCCCCGTCGAGCCCGCCGCCCCCGCCACCGCCGGGGGATGCAAGCGCCGTCGCCCCCGCCACCCACTGGCGACAGGCGTCGACCCCCCGAGTAACCGCCTCGACGGTGGACAGGGCGGTGAGGGGCCCGTCGCCCAGGCGCAGGGAGAGCGGGGCGGGGGGCGCGGCCGCCAACAGGGGAACGACCCCCGCCGGCGGCGCGATGCCGACGGCGGACAGCAGGGTGGCCACCCCGGTGCCGCCGAGGAGGAGAGTCTTCCCTCGCTCGGCTAGCGGCTCCATGTCCGTGAAGGCCGGCCTGCTCTCGTTGAAGCTCATGGCACCTGAAGAAGTAAGCCAGCGGGGGGGGGGGGCATGATGGAAGCCCCCGCACAATTGTGTTAAGCAAGGGGCGGTATCTCGAAAGGTCACTTGACGTGCGGAGTGTACGTCGACATCGGGCTGCTACAAGACAGGAGTAAATCTATTCGAAAGGGCAAGGCGCCTGAAGGGCTCACCCACCCGACCGGCAGCGGCAGCGGATCAAACACCTTCTACCTGTTGCGCTGGTTGGCGTCCAGAGCGCCCCCAACTCTCAAACTACGGGCTGTGCTCAGCAGCGACGAGACTGCTGTGTCGTTTCACCATCCTAGCGACACCCTCCCTCCCCCCCCCGCACGCCCAAATAACCGACAAACCCATCCCCTCCGGTGGGAGCGATTGGCCATCGGTGATCATCAGTCCTGTGAGAACAACGCTCCGTCCCCTCGAGGGCGCGTGCTCAATGGTCTAACAGCTAAGGGCATGCAGAGAGTACACCGCCCACCAGCAAGCAGCCACAACAAAAACCCGTTCTCTCACCCCCTGTGGTAGCAGCGAGCATGACTTGAGCCGTCTCCCCGACAGCGATCGTCCACCTTAGGAGCGCCAGGTGGCTCGACCCCGGTGGCAGAGTCGTCGGCGCTTGTGCCAAGAGCGTCCTAGCGGGGGCGAGCCAGCCGCCACTGTCTACGCCGCCGCCGGCCGCCTGCGGGTGGGTCTGGACATCAACAGAGGCGTGACGGGGGAGGGAGAGGGGGGTGATTTCCACCAAAGTCGAGACAAGGATGGAGCACCGCCAAAGTGTGCCCCACCAGTGTGCTCGAGTAAACCAGGCAGACAAAAACCACGGACTGACAAAAAAGCACGACAACAGATTGATTCCCTGCACACAAGCCCAACAGATAAAAAGAAGAGTGCTTCAGAAAGAGAGGGGCAAAGAGGAGGGGGAAGAGGAGTAGCAAGAGGAGGATTTGCTGGTGCTGTGCCTACGCTACACCAACGTTATTCCGATACGTCACGGACTCCACAAAACCCATGGCATCATCACCAGCGGGCAATTGGCTCGTCGAGCAAGACACAGATCATTACTGACGTTAAAGCTCGTGAGGCGATTGAAATATGACTTCGTGCAGAGAGCGACACCCGCGGGCTACAAAGACGAGCACGAATGGGCGGTGGCTGGCCGGCTGGCAGCAGAGTCGGGCCTCGCCGACTCAGTTTGTAGATAGTAAGAGTGGCATGCTTCGTCGTATCGGCTATAATACTGAGGCTGATACATAACACAGCAAAAGGACAGCCCTCTCGACAACACTGCGAATGCCACGTGCGCCCTTTGAATCGGGGTCGGCTCTATCAAGTCCAGGACAACCAAGAAAAAACTCGAGACAAGTTCCAGAAAAACACCCCAGACAACAAAGCAGAAAAAAAAAAAAGAGCAATACCGCGGACGAAAAAAAAAAAGAGAGAGAACGTGCCGTGACGTGCGCGTGACAAATGAGCGCGGCCGATCTCTCTCTTTCTGGCGAAACACCAACACGCGGCTGAAGTTAACTCACCACCGGCACCGTGAGGATAGCCAACACCTTAGGGTCCCACTGGCCATGGGACTGAAGGGCGTCTCGAAGAAGCTTCTCCTCGGGTAACTGGTCGAGACAAGAGAAACAAACGGGCGCAAGCGGTACGTTATTGGGGTCAAGGCCAAGAAGGGTCCGGCACCTATGCATGATGTTCCGTAAGTACACGATTCGATGCGCGTGCCGCGAGCCTGTCGGGTACAGTAGCAGCTCTGGTCTGCTGCGAGAACGGGTATGCATACTCCCGATCCCCTTTCGCGGCCCAAGCAACGAGAGAGAAAGAGCCACGAAAGCAGCACGGTCGGAAAGTGACCATCGAGACCGTAACACCACCACCACCACCGACCACAATAACAACAAGAACAACAACAACAACAACGAAATCAACTGCACAACCTACAGCATCGGCAACCACCCCCACCGCCAACAACAACCATGCCTCCCTGAGGGTCAACTCCTGTCTCTCCACCCACCATCACCTACCTGCATAGCCCGAACAACGTCGCGGGCAAGCAACGCCTCGACCGCCTTCGCGCTCCCGTCGGTCATCGCCACCGCCGCACCACCTCCCGCTCTCCCGCCGCCGCCCGCCCCGGCCAACAACCCCCTAGCCTCCGTCAGCCAGGAGGAAGCCTCGCCGCGGAGCTCCTGCAGGCCGGCGAGGACGTCGGCAAAGACGGCCGCGCTCTGCCGCTGGTTCGCGGCCGCCGCCACCGAAGCGCCATCGGAGGCGGGGTCGTCACCGACCGGCAGCGCGTCGTCCCCGGGCTTGTAGGGCGCGGTCGCCGAGAAAGACGGTGGGGGCGGCGTCTGGACGAGGGTCTCCGTAGAATCGAGGGTGGGAATGCGGCCGCCCGTCGGGAAGAGGACCCCGCCGGAGGCCACCAGCCAGCGACCTGCCTCGATCCTGCCGCAGAAGGGCGCAAGCATAGCAGCACCAGAGGGGATAAAGAGCAGGGCAAAGAACACGGCCGTGTGTGTCAGTGGTATTCGCATATCGACCGACCGCGCTAACCGGCTGACCAATGAAAGGGCATCAGCCTCAGTGCGGTTGAAAACGGAAAATTCTCCCAAAGTCAAGGGCCCGTGTGTGTGCGTAAGCTGATGGTACTTTGATAACAATCAACTGTGGCCACCGGCTGACATACTGGAACGACGTCAGGCTAGGGCGTGAAAAAAGAGAGAAGATGCCAAGACCGTTCGTCCGCAGGAGGGGATGGAGCAAAACCAGGGGGTTCTTAATCGACGTGATGAGGGAGCAATGGCGATAAGGCTATGAAGGTGGGGGCTCGAGAACATGTTTCCCTTGACGTTTGAGCGAGACCTCCGCGTCGGCGAAACGCTCGGAAGGTAGGCACACAACCAGAATACCGTATATGACACAAGATAACACACCCCCTGGACCGATTTTCAAAGCTCGATTACTCCACGACGAAGAGGATGCATAAATGAAACAATACGTTTTCGAACAGCTCTCGACGAGACGGTTCCAACGCCGCCGTTTTTGGCGCTGTGACTCTTCCTGCTGTTGAGAAATCGAGCTTTGAAAATCGGCCAAGGGGGTGTGTTATCTTGTGTCATATACGGTATTCTATATTCTTGGCTCCGTTGCTTCAATTTTTGTCATATATATATATTCGGGTCTTACTGGATTTATTTCTCATTGGGACCGACACCCTTAGGCCACTTGTTAAGCTGTCCTTTTTTGGGCTGTCTTTTTCTCAACAAGGGACAACTGACCAAGAACTACTTGTTACGTTGTCTTTTTTTGCATTTTTGGACCTTCGAAAAAGGGACAGAAGAAAAAGGCAGCGCCATCCTGTCTCTTTTCGGGCAACTTTGTGACAGGATGGGACTGTCTTTTTTTGTTGCCCTTTTTCTGTCACAACACATGACACTTGTCCACAAACTTGAATATCTCGACGGATGATCCCCGCAAACTCTAACGGTATTCGCACGAGTCGTGTCATGTGACTGGTACGGAGTCAGTAGCCTCGGCGATAGACGTAATGTTGTCATTCGGCTGACCAGGTGGACAACCCGATGTGTGCGGCAAACAAGCGGCAAACGAGCCGAAAGAGCCTGGACGCAGCAGCGGTGGGTCTTTTTGGTGCACAGTCAACTTTTGCGAACCCAACTTCTGGGCGACCTATAGCGTCCTGGTCTGTATCAATCACCACACAAGACGAATCAAACGCACAGCTCATGGCGGATACCTTTGTCATCACTGTTGCTTCGGTGTGTGACGAGGGAGCATCGATGAACCAAAGTTGCAACACGGGAAAAAGAACAAAAAATATGCTTGGAGACGCGGCGGGTCATTTTTCCCGCTTGTCCACCACTCTCGCGCTCACAACCTCTGACCGCCCGTCAGCCTCCTGGTCTGTATCAACCACCACACAAGACGGACCATACACATAGCTCGTGGCGGATACCTTCGTCATCGCTGTTGTTTCAGTGTGTGGCGAGGGAGCATCCATGAACCAAAGTTGCGGCATGGGCAAAAAAGAGCAAAAAAAGCTGGTTGTTGGCGCGGTGGGGTTTTTCAGGGTGCTGTTGACTCTCGCCACCTCAGTTGCCGTGCCTCCCACTGCCCTGTGGTCTCGATCAGCCGCCACACAAGGCGGACCAAGCACCCAGCTCGCGGGGGATAGCTTTACAGTTGCTGATGCTTCGCTCTGTGCGGAGATATCACCGAAAAACCAACTCGGTGCCAAGGTACTTATTGTGTGACGAACGGCCGTTGCACTTGTTGCAGGGTCATTTTTTTTGGCGGATGAGCAAAAAGGATCGACCAGCACCGTAACAAGTGGGTCATCTTTTTGCTATATTATTTTTTGGTTCGTCCCTTTTTGAGAAAAAGACAGCCCAAAAAAAAGACAGCTTAACAAGTGGCCTTAGCCTCTCCAGCGTTGTTAAAAGAAAAAACTAGGTGTGCATCATGTGCATGATCGGCTTCTATCCACTTGGTATGCAGGGGACATCGCTGCGGAGGTGAGAGCAACAGCAACAGCAACAGCACAACGGCGACGACCAAACATGTCGCCGACACAAACGAAAAAAAACACCGCTTACGACAACATTACATTACACGGCAAACATCCGCCTTGTACCTGGCCTGCAGCTGGACCTCCAGGGCCGACCGGAGCGACGGCGCCGCGTCCACCACGCCCGCAAGAACGCCTTCCATCCCCTCCACCAGCCCGGACGCGGACTTCCGCCAGGTCTCCCACTCCGCCACGACATGCCGCCGCTGCCCCCCTCCGGCCGCCACGGCCACCGCCTCCTTCCACGTCGTCGACGGCGGCGCGGGAAACGCCCTTCCCCACCCGCCGCCGCCGCTGCCGCTAGTCGCGGCATCCCGCCACTTCCACGCCATCGTCGCAGCCGCATCCTTCGCCGCGACGGCCTCGCGAAGCGCCGCAAACTCCGCGGACGCTGCCGCTGTCGCCAGGGCCGCTCCTTCGAGCACGGCAACGGGTTTCGCACCGCTACCGCCGCTGCCGTTTCCTGGTGATATCACGGCGTCCAGCAGAGCGTGCCCGTCCGCAAGAGTGGGCTTGGCGGGTGGGGAGGGGTTGGAGCCGGGTAGGGCGTTGAAAGCGGCGCGCGCGGCGAGGACTCGCCAGCTGTGCCAGCCCAACGACTGGATGGAGAAGGAAAGAGGGTAGGGATAGACGAGAGAGAGAGAGAGAAGGGGGACAATATAGAGAACGAGAGAGAGAGAGAGAGAGAGAGAGAGAGAGAGAGACAGACAGACAGACAGAGAGAGAGAGAGAGAGAGAGAGAGACAGAGACAGAGAACCACAGGAAGAGAGAGAGAGAGGGTGAGAGAGATAGACAGAGCAGACGAAGATTAAGAACCGCAGAGAGACAAGCAAACAAAAAGAGGGGAGGGCGTCAAGTGGGCCCGGAACGTATACTAGTAGGCGCGGGGGAGTACAGGGACAAGGCAGCAAACAAAAAACATGCGACGACACGCCCCCCAGAAACGCCAAGTCCTTCAGCCGCAGTAGTGGGGGCACAGCGCAACGCTCTTAAGCCACTCTCCCCCGCTCCGCACTGAGGGGAGCTGGTTATCTGCCGGCGCTACAGTTCGTACCGCTCCATCACTCTCGCCGCGCCCGTGCCATCCTAATCTCTCTCGGCTTCTACACCCAAACTCGTGGCGCAACTCCCCCACGCCCACAACCTCCTCCTTACCCGAACACCAGCGGCAACAATCTGCGCCACGAGCTCCCGCCCGCTGCCGGAAGAGGCCGCCGCTGCCGCCGCTCCGCTGCTAGCTGTCGGCATCCCCTTCTTCTCCTGCCCGGTGGTGTCGCCGCTCTTGGACCAGGCCGAGAGGTTGTCGCCGGCGGCAAGCAGGGCGGCCACGCCGCCCGCTGACTCTGGCTGCGTCGCCGCCGCCGCCGCCGCTGATGACGGTGCCGCCGCCGCCGCCGCTGCCTGAAGGCACGCCGCTCGCCACCTCAGCGCCTCCGTAAGCTGGCGGGTGTGGGGAAAGTGTTTGAACGTTTTAACGCCGTTGGATGCGAAGGTGTTGGGTGCCCTCGTTGTTGTTATTAGTTCATTGTTTAATGTTGTTATGAGTGTTGTCTTGTGTGTTACCCTCAACATTGTTGTAAAGATTGCTGGAGGCGAAGGCATTGTCTACCCGCGCGACGCCTCGCCGACCGCGGCCGCGACGAAAATGAACATCAGCAAGGCCGTCGGTCGCAGAGGAACGAGGAAAACGTGTGTGGTTGAGCTCGGGTTCGGGTAGAGGTGAGGCGTTTGTGTGAGACAACAAATCGACCCTCGTGAGCTTCCGTCACACCGCCAAAAAAAACAGCGTGCGCTACTACTGCTACTACATCTCCAGCTCCATCCCTTCCTACCGGTTCGCGGAAACATCAGCGTAGGAAATGAGTCTGAGCTGTCGCCCATGGCTGGAAAGTACGCCACACGACATCGAAGACCTACGCCTACTCACCATCGCCACACAATTTCACAGGGAAACTCGTCGTACCCTCCCTCACGACACCCCGCTTCTTGTTCCGCTGAGGGGGGGGAGTAACCGCTGCGGCGAGACGTGAGCAACGAATACCGTCGAAATACCCCTCCTTCGTTTGCGAGACTCCGAAGACGTCATGATAGGGCCTACAGCAACGCGGCACGACACTGCGACGTCGTGGCCCACGTATGAGCGCAAACACCCGCACACACACTTATGGTGTGCAAAACGACCACAAGCAATGGACAATCATGAGCACCCTCCGAATACCTGGGGAGGCGACACAACCCGTTCCCCTCTTCGCGCGAGAGCTTTCAGATCCTCCATGGAAGTGGAAGAAGAACCGGCTCCGGTAGCAGCTCGCCGTACCTCGGCTTCCCAAGCAGAGGCCTCCTGTTCGACCGAGCGGGGGGGGGGGGGCAACAACAGGGCAACAACACATGTCAGGAACAAAGTGTTGAAACGTGCTAGTATGTATCGTGGACAGTTTTGATATCGGGGTCATACTCGCATGTGTGAGAGCAGCATCTCTCGCAGGCCACCGGAACTACCGACACGTGCTCTACGACTTGACAACCGTACGTCTGGGGGTATATACTCTGGCTTGCAATCCTGGCATCTCGCCACAAAAACAAAACGCACAACAGAAAGCAGTGACGGGCCGCGAACCCACCCGACCGTCGGAAATAACACCACGCCGTACACCTCAGGGATTCGGCGGCACAACGAAGAAAAACGAGGCAAGCACCGGACAACTACGGCGGAACTACACTACCTCTTCCCCCCTCGCCATTGAGGTCCCAAGTGCGATGTCTGCTGTGCCCAGCTATTGTTCACCAAGACCACCTTCTTCAGCCCCCCCCGGTGACACACGTTGCTCCGTCCTCTCGTCAATTGACCTACAAGTTAAGGCATGATGCAAACATGAGGCACGCTCCCCGCCCCCCCGCCCAGTGACACACAATCCCCTGCCTCACCTCTAGCAACCTCGACAATTCCACCGCCTCCGGCACCCCGGAAACCTTGAGCTCGACCTCCACCTCGGCAAGCAGTGCCTCGATGCTCTCCCGCAGCCCCGCCCCGCCGCCCTCTCCCTGCCCACCCCCCTCATTTTCTTTCCCCGCTCCGGGTGCCCCTCCCTCCCTGGATCGGGCGGTCGCCAGGAGCTTTGCAGCGCGTTGCTGCCAGCGCTTCACCTTCGATACCCTGTTGATGAGAAGGTCAGGGTTCGATGTGGGGGGGCAGGGTGGCCATGTCAGGTGGGCGGGGGGGGGGGGGGGGGGG